ACACTCAAGTCTTAAACTGGTTTTATTGTATTTAGGCAATATTTTTTTTCATACGTAAGTGTGATCAGGTATATGTTTCCTGAAAAAAGACAATTTTTGCAAACAAGCAAAGTCTTTTAAAAGCTAGAGTGCGCACAATCACTTTCAGTTTATATCATTTGTCAACAAGCCATTTATTCTGTGAAAATGAAGATACTAAAAACGTATTGTTACTTCGTGTTTTGAACTCTTATATTATTTTGTGTTGAAATTTAATACTCTCAAGTGTATTCATTGCCTTCCTCTTTTACAGAGGTATCCGAAATGCCATGCTCCGAGCTGGACGAGCTAGAAGCCTACATGCAGCGTGTTCAGTCGAGTAAGTTTGCCTCCGGAATGTGATTTTTTAATAATCGTACCTGTAAAAGGCATATATCTTTATTCAGCCATGGAGAATGTGCTTGCTGTACTTTCACCTGCCAACTGCTAATATGTCTGTATCTGATGACATCCTTACTAAGTCAAGCAAGCTTTATTACCAGCTTATCCCACTCTTCAAATATATTAAGGAAATGAAGTCCAACTGAGCATGAAGTGCAGGCAATGTTACTCACTGATAGTGAGCTTCTGCTTGAATTCAATCCAGTATGTATTAATATATTTTAAGGACAAAGGTGCGGTTATTCATCATGAATCTGAGGTTCTTTATTGATTAAAATACATTATATTTCATTTACTAAGTAAAATAGAAAAGGTATCGTCTTTATTTTTCTATTCTGATTTCAAGGTTCCAGTCGTCGTTCTGATAGGATACGCCTAAAAACTCAGTTGATGGAATTGCGTCGTGATGAGGCTCGCCTCTTGAAACAACTTGGTCTTCCATTAGCAAGTAGAGCGCGTCGACGCCAATCTGCCTCTTCTGTCCCCTCGTCGTTTAGTGCAGCTGATGCTCTTCGAGCTGCTCGCGGCTCTTTGCGGACCGAAGAAAATTCAAGCGAACTAATGTCCTGTGAGCAGAATGAACTGGATAAATTCGACCTCCACCAGACAGCATCATCTCTCGATCCTTCTAACCCATTAGAACATGAGGATGACTCAAACACTAGGTTAGAATATAAATATTATATAAGAATCTTAATTCCCCTTCATCGTGATATATGTATTAACCTGTTGTTTTTATTTAGGACATGCGTTTCAAAAATTCTTTATCTTGCGAATTTAAGGTTAAATCGCACTTTTATCAGATAATTCATAATAAAAACGTTTCTAGTTCACGTGCTTATTTTATTAGCACTTACTAGTTTATAATATATACCGAAACAAACTAAAGGATGTTAAATGTACTCTAATTTGTCTAAATACCTTATAGTGGGTATTTAAGTTCGCTTTATTTATAGCCCTTTGAGGTACTTGTGTTTTCGTCAGGTTGTTTTTATTATCATGGCCAAATTTAGCTTTTAATTGTTTCTATTACCGATTTGGGCTCGACTGATGTTTAGCCTCCCATTAATTATTCCTGATAACAGATGCTGCTTGTTTACTTCTGGATAAAAATTCATTCAGAGGTGTTGGTGGCACCTAATCATATCAAGACTCCATGACCATTAGCAGGCATTTGTGGAATGCAAAATACGTACGAAATGCATTATCTCATTCAATCATTTTCTTAGTTTTTCCTTGAGTATTTCATCTTTCTGTTCATCAAATGCTAAATACGCACTATAGACTATTTTCTTATAGTGTTGGTTCGACCTTGTTTTCGCAACTTGGTCGGAGCGTCAGGGAGACCTTGTGAAGCATATCTAGTCCTGTGTCATCTGCCCTAGTATTCGTGATTTCCGACATACGACCATCGACATGGTCCCAAACGTTTCACCTGAATCGCATTCAGCATCGTCAGGGAGAAGCGCCATTTTTAGCACAGGGTTACAACTTATAACTCCTCCATATTGCCACAGGGCAGATGCGAATTTCAATGAAGGTTAGGCTTTTTTGATCTCATTTTCCACCCTAAACGAAATAGGATGAACACACCTCCTTTATATAATTTAATGGTAGTCTCGAAAACCTACTCAATAACGAAAAAAGTAATGCCGTCGATTGTTATATAAAATATAAGTTTGGTTCATTGACGATCTCAACACAGAATATGATATGAAACTGCCTGACCTTCCTTGAGCTTCGCATCTGCCCTGTGATCCAAGTGTAATCGCGGCAATGTATCGGAGTAGTCAACTTATCGAGCTTACACACTGCACTGCCATAGTTCGACTCCCGCTGGGGATGTTAATAAGACCCAAGCGAGGTCGAAACTGCAGTCCACTGGTGCCTGGATGAGAACAACTTTGGGAAAAGCAAGGCTATGTGAAATTCAATGGAAATGTCAGCTCTACTCATATCATTGTGGGAAAATTCTACTACTAGTTCCTCATTATAAACAAAATAGGGCGAACATTTCTCATGGAAAAACTGAGTTTCCACTCGCCTCTTCAAACGAAATGAAAGGTACTCCAGCATAAAAATAACTATATAACTGTCTGAAATATGATTGCCTAAGTGCCTTCAATTCCCGTCCCAGAGTACGCCATATTCGAGGATTTAGCCCAGACTATGCCCATGCCAGTGCTTGGAAATCTTCTTCTCCATAAGCTTCGAACCCATGACTCGATTATCCTCTTTCTTCTTTCTCCGCTCATTCTTTGGTGTCCTGTGTCTGCTTAAGTCATAATCACTTGTGTAAAAATGCATCACTTCCCTTTTCCCCCTAACAATAGAGACTATCTATTTCACGCTCAACGGACGCATCTTTGAGCAAATATTTGGCCTTCCTTCACTACTCTCACTTCTGTCGGCTAATGTTTACATGGACAAGTTGGAGAAGAATTTCAAAATGCCTCATTAACAGCCAACTGTAATTTTGCTATATCTGGATGACTATTTCTTAATATGGTCGCACAATAAATAAAAAGTAGGCGATTTTGTGATCTTCATAAACGAATTGGATGAAAAAGTCAAAATTATCATAGATAATGAAGAGAGGTCATTTGCCTCGATAAAAAATATCAAGAAACTTTATTCCCGAAAGAAGTCGCATGCTGGGATAACTCTTTACTTTCCGTCTAACTCGGACTCACTGATTCAGAGTCCTGGCGAAAGGAACTGGGAAAACTAGCTCAAATGTGTCTTGGAAACGGATATCCCGAAGAAGCAATAGAACGCAACATACGGATAGTGATGAACAGATGGAATGACAGAAATTAAGAAATGACAGCAAGAGAAACTGAGAAAAAACGATTGATATATCTGTCTTCCTGTGATTGGGTTTGGAAGCTGCGACCGATACTATTGAAATGAAAA